TGCAGATGGCATTCATCCCATAGCTGTACGTGGCTCTTATAAGGAGTCTCTTTATATTTGCCAGCACCGTCATGAATTCCCTTTTGCTGACTGGCAAGTCAGTACCATGCAGCATAAATAAATCATGCTTTAGCAAGACTTCTTCAGTGTGTTCTTCAAATGGGTTCAGATGAATTCCCTCTTGTGATGTACTGATTCTCAATCCACTTCCCTAGTAATTATAATAAATGTTATTGTTGCAAACATTTTCAGGAAACAACTTATGTGGCTACAACCCTGTACAGAGCCTAGCACTTTGGGACAAAGTTCTGTGACCAGGTGTGTTCATGTATATGATATTGCCAAGAATTTGATATTAATGCTGATACGGAAACTTAGCTGATGATGGGACAAAATAATTCATAAAAAACCTTGATGATCTTCTGAAAACCAATGTACTAATTTGACATTATTGTGACAAAATGCAGACTTCTGTCTTTCTAGGGCAGCACACATTTCCAACACCTCCCGTTTTGTCCTTACAACAACCCTGTGTCATAGCTTAGTTACACAGAATGTAACTGGCCCAAGGTGAGTGAGGATATGAATCCAGGACTACTCTGTTCTGGTCTGGTATTCTAACTATTACACTGCACTAGCTCTTCACTGAAGTTTCTTATCAATTACAGAGATATAACAGCAATAGTGAAACTCTATCTACTTAACTGCCTATTCAGTGTGTACAGTCATCTTTATAATATTTATAATATTATCCCAAGCATACTTACTATGGGATAACTTCATTTGAAATAAGAAAGGGATTTAAGCATGCTTACCCATGATCAGCATTACATTTCCTGTAATTTTTATTGCTATTAAAAACACTTAACACTTAACTAAGTCTTCTTCTAACACAGCCATGATTCTCCATTTAGCTTTCACTGCCACTGTGAATGCCATGTAAAAATAATGGCATTTGACATACCACTATAGCATGCTAACATTGGAATGATCTATCTAGTGGGCACTCTGAATTCCCAGCTTTAATTTTTTAAGCCCTAGCCCCTTCCTTTGTGGAGACATAAGGTGAAAGGCATATCTCTGGAATGAAAAGGGCATGAGATATTTTTAATGAAAATTAGGAATTTATAGGGACTAGTCACATGACTATAGCCACATGACATACTGATTAAAATGAAGCTTGGAACCGTTCTTCAGTTGCATAAGGAAATGGTAGCCACGGAGGGGGGGGGATATGTGCAGATTCTCATCTATACAGGATACAAATACTCTTTGACTGCAATCTTTTAAAAAAGATTGTACCAACCAGATTTCGGAATGAGCTCAACAATGCTGGGGGGGTTTGGTTTTTTTTTTTTTTTACAGAAAATGGATGGTTGGGGGCTGATTTCATGTAGATGCTCCAAAAAACCCAGTTCTGGTTTGAGTGTAAAACCAGAGCAAAACCTCTCTGTGGAAGCAGCCTAAGTCTAAGCATGTCCAGCAGCATCTGTACTTATCCATGCTGCTACATTTGTTTCTCCCTTCCCATCCCTCCCTCCATTGTCTTAATGCTGTACAAATTAAGTTGGTTTGCAAGGTTATACTACATTGGTTTGTACAAATGATTATAGTTGTTTTAATTAACTACCTGTTTAGCCATATGAAGCCAGCTCATTTGCTTACCAATGAAAATCTGCCTCTAACAAATCATCCTTTCACTGAACACACTGAGTTGTGAAATTGTACCTCTATGATGACATCAGACTGAAGCATCGCTTCAGCAGCATCTTCTTCCCCAGTTAGATCATATGAGATGGTAAATTTCAGAAGGCCTCCAGCAGCTGTTATCTGCAGAAAAGAAGAAGGGTGCTGATCACACAGCAGAAAACATGCCTTTAACCATTTTATACTATTCTACTCCAATTACAGTGCTTTCAAGAGGAAGGACTTCGACTGTAGTGAAAGGACAAGTGTATGATAAACAGCCCCAAGCAAAGAGTGATTATGAGCTTCTCCTTCACCTTATTCTTTCTTTCTCCCTCTCAAAACCCATTGCTTCTATGCTCCAAAGAAGCTATAAGTACCTTTGGACGCAGGCTGAAAATTTATGCATGCTTGCATATCTTCTCACCAAAGGTCTGGCATGAATGAGATTATTCCGTAATGATAGCATATGCTATGCCACGATAATTCTAGCAACCCAGACCCTTACTTCCTAATTTTCCTCATTTTGAAAAATAAAGTCTTCATAGACAAAATGTAATCTACATTTCTTATTCGGATGGCACTTAATTGTCAAAAGTAGCCAGAAAATTGGAGCTGTATACTATTCTTCTTCTTCCCTTCTGTCCCCTGCCTCCAAGGGTCCAGGCTGGTACAAAGGACTGCTTTTTAATCCCCCTGATCATTAGGCTGCTATGACAGAATGTTTCTTATAAAAGATAATCTAAAATGGAGGGAAGAGAAGTATTTATCTGTTCCTAGGAAATAGAACAAATTCGGTTAAAAAGAAGGCTGCGGTGGCTCAAGTGGTTAAGACGCTGAACTGCAGGCTGTGGAAGGTCAGTAGTTCAGCAGTTCAAGACCCGGGTGCCGCAAGACGGGGTGAGCTCCTGTCTCTAGTTCCAGCTCCTGCCAACCTAGCAGTTCGAAAGCAAGAAATTGCAAGTAGATAAATAGGTACCACTTCGGTGGGAAGGTAACAGCGTTCCGTGCACCTTGGTGTTTAGTCATGCCGGCCACATGACCATGGAAATGTCTTCGGACAGCGCTGGCTCTTCGGCTTTGAAACGGAGATGAGCACCGCAACCCTAGAGTCGGATTCGACTGGCTTTCGAGCAAGGGAACCTTTACCTTTTTACTGACACATTGCCACCTCCTTTGGATTTGCCACTGTCACAAATATGTAATGAGCCACCAAGTTCAAGCATTTGTTTCCCCTTAAATATATTTTGCATGTATTAATCTTGTTAACCATTTGCTGCTAATAATAAACATTTGGATGGATACTGAGCATGACAAACCAAAGAACAAAAGTGGACAGCACAGATTGTTCTTAGGATAAAAGTTTAAAAAAAAAAAGTAAAAAAAGTGTTGACACAAGGAGCATCGCATTGTTCCTTCCACTGGGAAAAAAGTGAGAAGAGTAAACTAAACCACGTTTCATGTTTAAGTGGAACAAAGACCCTAGGAATAGAACCTTCCTTTCTCTTTCCTTCCCTTTTCTATATTGCTGACCAAGAGTGCAGTTATGTGAGCAGCCTGCAAGGAAGGGAATTGCTTGATTATTCGCAGGACTGTTCCAATGGGACTAATGCACAACCTTCCATCATCATTCATCATGTATTCAGCCCCACTTGTGCAAATGAAACAAAAACAAAATGGAGGGAAATAACTTTTGTTGTGCAGTGTTATCCACTTTTAATGAAAAATAAATCAGTTTTTCAAGGGACTGGGTCACTTCAGTAACTAAATGATGCTAAATAAATTATAAACAACAGCATTAATTATGGCAGTAATCTATACATTTTCAATCTTTTTTTTTAAAAAAAAGAAATTATGCATCACTACAGGCATCCTTGAAGATTATGGTGTTTCATTATCATTTTTTAAAGTTTCCATTAGCAGATATAGCAAAAAAACATGCCACCACTGGTTGAATCCACTGGGAAGATCATTTCATTTCAGTGCGGCTTGTAAAGGAGAAGTTCTTGATTTATTGAGCTCCCTAACCATATCTTAGGATTTCTTTATATTTGCAGAAGGGGTGGTAGATGTTCACCAGAAGGATGACAATACTAACATATTGAAAATAAAACCTATGCTGTTTGTTTCTAGAGTCTTTAGCTATAAAATTAATTTTAGGTCTTCTTAAAGTAAATGCAATCATTGAAAAAGGCAACAAGAAATCATTGTGTTAAAATTGACTCATCCCACATACATAGACATTCCATTACCTACTGTACTAGTTATCTGCCACCTGTAAAACCCATGATTTCATGAAAACCACAAGTATGTGCAGCTGACATTACTTTAGCAACACACCAGACCAACTTTATCTTGAAACAGTCTGAATCAGACTGAATAGAGTGTCCATGCCTGTTACCGGACTCAATTCTGTCTAACATTAGCCTGAATCCAGGAAATGCAGGCTTGATATGCTTATGCTAAATAAAAATGTGCCTGTGTATATAAGCATTCAAACTGTGTTCCTTGAACATGGTTTGCTCCAGCAGGTAAGCAGTTTTCAGTGGTAACACAGGTAGGTAAATACGACTAAGTGTGTGTGGATTGGTCCCAAGTCTCCAGAAGAAGGAACATCTACAGCTACAAGGCAGTCACTATTACAATTCTGCACATATATGACAAAGTTGTTCCTCATTGACCTCTACCATCCTTGGAGTGAAACCTGGTCAAATGGTTTACCCTGGAGCTAGGTGACCTAAAGAGGGCCAAGAGACATCTAGAATGATGCTGGTGATGAAGTCATACTGAATCTGACAGAGCATGTTATAGAACTCACAGGAAAACCTATGAAGCAGCAGTGAAAATGACAAAAAAGTGTTACTTCTCAGCTATCAACGCATCAGCCAGTTCAGAGGCATCTCATTTGCTTAGGGGATCTTGGCATATACTGACTTGTAAATCTGAGTTTTTGTTGTCTCAGGAACAGGAAATTAGTTGTGATGCCTCTGCAAAGGTTTTGTTTTGTTTGCTGACAAAAACTCTCAAAAACACTGACTTGGATGCTGATTCTAACGTGGATTAGACAGAAGAAATACCTAACATACCATCTGGTCTGTTTATGGATCATTTTGACCCAGTTACCACAATAGATTCTGACAGAATTCAGGGATCTGTGAAAGCTACCATGTGCTCTCTTTGACCATCCTGGTTGCTGAAATCATTGATGTTTATTGTAACTCAATCAATGACACAGGGCACCTTCCCATGGTCACTCAAACGGGGAGACTTCTGACCCCTGCTTAAAAAAACTGTCCCTACAGGAAATGTTGCCAATTATAATTTTGTCTCTAATTTGCCCTTCTGGGGCAAGGTAACCGAGGGAGCAGCAAGAGACCAAATCCAGGCCTTCATGGATATTTCAGGGGCTCTGGACAGTCTGGCTTTCCTAGATTATGGGACAGAGATGACATTGGTGACTTTAGTTGATGATCTCTCTCTGCAGGTAGACAAAGGCCATGCTTCTTTGTTCCTCCAGATCTAACTGGTGCCTTTGATACAGTAGACCATGCCATCTTCTTGAAATATCTGGAAGCAGAAGCAGATATCAAGGGATGTGTTTTGGATTGGTTTAAATCTTTCCTTACAGATTGGACTCAAAGGGTTGCCACTGGCAACCACCAGTTATCATCAGTGTGGAATTTGTCCTGTAGGATTACACAGGGTATAGTTTTATCCCCCATGCTATTCATTCATTACGTAAAGCCCTTGTTGTTCTAGTATTGCATGCCATCAGTATGCTGATGACACTCAACTCTATATGTCTATCCAAATCCAAAAGGTATTGAGCCCTGTCTGACTACTGTGGTGAAATGTCTGAGACTGAACAAATTGAAACTGAACAAGACAAAGGTAATGATGTTTGGGAAGACTGCAGTTTTGAAGAATATCATGCTTCCAACTTTTGATGGGGTTCAGCTGACCCTTGCTGACTTGGTCAAGAGCCCAGGGGTTACACTGGAGCCAACATTATTACTGCAGAAGCAAAATAATGCAGCCACAAAACAATACTTTTTTCCAACTTAATTTAGCCTGGAAGATGGCGACCTACCTTGACTCAGCTGATCTTAAAATCTGGATGTATGCCATGGGACCATCAAGATTAGGCTACTATAATGTACTCTATATAGGTCTTATCCCTCCAAATCAACTTAGAAACTCCAAATAGTGCAGAATTCTGCAGCTTGGTTATTATCAGTAATTGCAGTGCACACATTTTATGTCCACCCAGCAGTCACTCTACTGGCTGCTCATTTATTACTGGTTCTATTCAAGGTAGCAGCCATCACGTACCAAACCCTTCGTGATCTCAGACCCTCATATCTGCAGGACTGCCTCTCCTCCTATGCCCTGGCATAACAACTTTGCTCATCTGAACAGGGCCTTGTACAAATACCTCCCTGGAAATGGGCAAGATCAACAACTGCCTGTACATGTGCATTCTCTTATGGAATGGCCAGCCTCAGGAGGTCAGGAATAGGGATGGGCAGAAACTGGAAAAATGTGGTTCATGGCTGAACCATGAACCAAACCGGTTCATGGTTTGTGGTCCCACAAATCCCATTGAAAAGGACCACAGTCCCTTTAAATAAGGTTTGCAGAAAGCTGAGAGTAGAGGTATGCAAAAAATTGGTTATTTTTTTCCTGATTCGGGTTCGTTGGATCCCAAAAATATTGCTATTCCACAAACGCCTGAATACCAATATTGGTATTGTATTGGGATTCGGGAAAATATTTAGGAAACCCGAGTTTATTCAGTGCCATTATACTCTATGGGGACCATCCCCATAGAGTATAATGGAGAATTGATCCAGGGGTATTTGCGACTGGTAGACTCACCAAATTTGCAGCATAGCTGCTGGTGCCTCTCCTCAACTGTCCCCCCAAGTTTTAAAAGACTGGACCAGGAGGTCCAATTCTATGGGCCCCCAAAGAAGGTGCCCCCATCCTCCATTGAAACCAATGTAGGGGAAAAGGAATTTAAACAGACCACAGTCTCTTAAAATTTCTCTAGCTGTGCCCAAATAAAAGCTGAATAATATCAGCTTTTATTCACGCGTGGCTTTTTTGGTCACCGAATAAGATTCTCCAATCTGTATTTGGCT